TAAAATGCAGCAAGGTGGTGCAGTGGGGGAGCACAGGTGGTGCATCTGCTAGTCATCTCGCTCAGTCAACCCACGACACCTGGGTCTGTCCCGTGACCTCCTGCACCTGCCTGGCACAGCAGTCAACCCAATACACCTGGGTCTGTCCCGTGACCTCCTGCACCTAGCCTGGCACAGCCACAGCAGTCAATCCTGGCACCTGGGTCTGTCCCGTGACCTCCTGCACCTAGCCTGGCACAGAAGTCAATCCACGACACCTGGGTCTGTCCCATGACCCTGCACCTAGCCTGACACAGCCACAGCAGTCAATACATGGCACCTGGGTCTGTCCCGTGACCTCCTGCACCTAGCCTGGTACAGCAGTCAACCCAAGACACCTGGGTCTGTCCCGTGACCTCCTGCACCTAGCCTGGCACAGCAGTCAACCCAAGACACCTGGGTCTGTCCGTGAGCTGTCAGCAGGGAGCCTTCCACACTTCACTTGACAGCCTAAAAGTGCACCTAGCCTGACACAAGCACTGTTGTGATGTCACCACCACTTAGCGGCGAACGGAGTCTGCTGTGCGCCTGTGGGTGTGCCCTCTTGAGGCTACCTGGGGGATCTTTGTCTTTGTGCGAGCAGGCGTTTGGGTTCATGACGCGCGTCGCGATGCAGGCCGAGAAGATGAATCACCACCCAGAGTGGAGCAACATCTACAAGCAGGTGAGGCACCACAGACACCCACCCCGCTCACCACCATCCCTCGCCACGATTCATCAACCCTCTCTCACCACCATCACCACCACCCCTCGCCCCCTCTCACCACTGGCCCTCATCTCCCGTGACCCCTGACCTCTAGGTGAGCGTGACCCTCACGTCGCACGACTGTGGTGGGGTCACGGAGCGCGACGTGCGGCTCGCTCGCTTCATGGACAGAGCGGCCGCCACCACCACTACCACCGCCGCAACCACCGCCGCCACCACCGCCACCACCGCCACCACCGCCACCACCGCCACCACCGCCACCACGGCGACGACGAAGACGACGTGAAGAGGGGGCGGCACACGAGCTCTGTGTGCCCACGAAGACAACGATCGTGATGAAGATGATGGTGGTGATGGTGGTGACAGTGACGACGACGATAAGCATGATGCCTGTGATGTAAGCATGATGTTAACAACGGTGATGATGATCACTGCAGTGATGGTATGACAGTGACGATGATGACGAAGATGATAAGGATGATGTCTACGATATGGATGATGTCTACGACGATGATGACGACCACCACGATATGACAACGATGATGACGACCACCACGATATGACAACGATGAATCGTATGTTTGACGATGGCGATGATGAGACTGATGATGGTGATGCAAGCGATGGAACTCCGTGGGTGACCCGTGCTCCGGTGAACACCAGTGACAGCGCGGGGGTGACGGTGGCGTAATAGTGATGCCAATGATGATGTCGAAGGTGAGATGGTAACCAAGATGATGACATCATGTCAGTGGTTGGTTGATGGTGACAGCCGTGATGATGGTGATTTGACCGGACGCTACACGTTTTCACGATATTTCTCTTCACAATAAATTGAGATGCTTGCTTTCGTCGGGAACTCCCTTGTCACTACACTGCTGGATGGACGTCTCCTCCGCTCGCTCCCACCTCTTCGATCACGGCGCCTCTTTGACCATACTTCGCCGCGCTGGGCAGTGACGGTTTGTTGGTTGAAGCGGGAGGCCCGGTGACCGGTCCAGATGCCGCTCGCCCTTGTTTCACAAAACGCGCGGGGACCTGTTAAAATATTGTACTGGTAGGAACCTCTGGTTATACCAAGCCCACAGGGCTTATTGTGTCCGTCCGTCGTGCAAGGAGGGCTGGGTGGTGAGGGAGGGCTGGGTGGGAGGGGTGGGGCTGGGTGGGGGGGTGGGAGGGTAGGCTGGGTAGGAGGGGCTGGTCACCCCGTGGTGTCCTTATAAAAACTCAACATTTAACCTACTCACGCCGGCTTGTGCCCGCCCTCAAAGTCGGCCATATTTGCGGATACACGACGCCGCCGTTGACACCTGGCCATTGACCGAGCAACCCAACGTTCCTACCAGCTCCCTCCGCAGGAATGTGTTTTTATTGTTGAAAACCGGTAACCGCATGGGTGAGAAAACCGGTTCAAAACCAGTTTTGCCGCACTTATAAAGAGAACGTCTCGCGCCAGACGCAATCGCGAACTGTCCCCGCATTTTTTTGAAGCGTGGAACGAGGGCAAATGAACAGCGCCTTGACTTAGGCTGCCCCGTGCCGCCTCTACGACACTCGACGCGAGCCAATCTGCGCCCTCCTCGTTACACCCCAGTGGGATCACCGCTTCCTGGACCGGTTCACAGAGGTCGCAAACGGGTTTTGATTCCTTACCCGTACCCGGCCGCACCAGGGTCGCAAATGGACCGGGTACGGGTACCCGTTCCCTACCCGTACCCGACCCGAAATGAGTGACAAACGGTTACTCACCAGTGACTCACGGCCTACCCGTACCTGTACCCGGCCGCACCAGGGTTGAAAACGGCTACCCGTACCCGTACCTGGCCGGGTACGGGTAGCCGGGTATCGGGTAGGGTACGGGTATCGGGTACCCGGTTGCGACCTCTGCCGGTTCATGAAATTGGGTGGCCCGTTTCAAGACGTCCCGGACCCCCCCCACCCTCCCGTTTCCCGTCTCGGCAGAAGATTGCCGTGCGGAGTTACGAGCCGGCTCAACAAATAAGTAATAATTTTAAAAACACGCTTTAATGAGATGTACCGTACTAGTAATGGCAGAACTCCACGACTCCAGGAAGTGGCCCCGAAGCTTGCCATCACGTAAGGGAAAATTAGACCCAAGCCGAAACGTAACATATACAAAAGAATGTTTAAAAATAGATATTTTTATGATAGAATATAGTATTGTCATTGTTATGACATACGTATACCAAGTTGCAGTCATACCACATTGGGAAGTGGGTTAAAATTGAGTTACAAGATTTGTGGATACAGCAACGACAACAACAGTGAGTTAATAAGAAGCGTGTATAATAAAAAGAGAGTCGAATTACATAATCGGAAGGATGTTACCGTCTCGGGTAAAGGTGAGGACGGCTGCTTGCGTTGTGGCCGAAACGTCGTGAGAATTGCATGTTACTATGTTTTATATGTATTCTTTTATTATTTCCCTTCTACGTGACTTTACCGAAAGAACCAAGAAGAAGATAAAGGTGAGATCTCGACGTTTCAGTAGATCGGCCTTGTGCAGGAATATTTCTGAATCAATATTTGGACACGCAGTTTGATTTTTTTTAATTTGGGGTACACATTCTTCACCTGAAGACGGCTGCTTGCGTTGTAGCCGAAACGTCGTGAGAATTGTTTTATTATGTTTTATTTTTATTATTTTATTACTTCCCTTCTACGTGACTTTACCGAAAGAAACAAGAAGATGAATCCCTGCAGTCACGAAAGCTTTAAATCGAAAATTTAACCGCCTCTACGGGGAGGGTTTCCACATAACTTTGAGATCCTTCAACAAGCTCCGGGATAAGAAGGCTCAGCTAATCGAGTCTCTCACCTTTCTGAAGAGATGCCGCGACTCTAAGGTAATACCAAACGCATTTACACTAACATCTGCTGCTGTAACTTCTTCTAATGCGAAACGAATTCTGTCTAGAACTAGCTTAGCTCTTATCTCAGAGAAAATCAGACTTACGCGCACCGAACTAGATCAGTTGGACAAGACACTCTACAAATCACACTTATCTTTGAGTGTAACAATGTCCACATCGGATTGGGAACATGTGGAAAAAATGACTGCCTCTTCAGCTGCCGCTATGTCGACTAAATGTAAGGACAACTTGATTTCCAAATTCAATCGCCTCTCAAACAAGAAACCGGACCCACACATTGAAAAGCTAGATATTAACAAAGTCGTAATTAATCGCAGTAACAGTCCTATTTCTGAAGGTTTGAAATCCGTTTTAGCTAAAGGACTAAACTTTGCAGTCACACCTAGACACATACCAGTTAATGATATAATTGCTCGAGTAGATGTAGCTCTCAAGGGCTTGAGTCACATCGCTGCAGACGTAGCAAGATCCGAAATCTCTGTAACCCTCAAAAACGCTAAGATGCCAGCTAGCAACATCAGCAAAGAGGAGCGTTTTGAATTAGCTCAATTAAAAAGAGGGATGACATTGTCATCCTCTCAGCCGACAAAGGCAATGCCACTGTCATCATGGACAAAATAGAATACAACAACAAAATTCAAGAACTACTAAACGATGGCAGCTATACAAAAATAAAAAGAGACCCCACCAACAGCCTCGTCTCCAAACCAACAACATCATTTCTGCTTCAACCGCATTAATTGATCAGACCAAACAGTTCTCGTTGAAACCTTCTGCAGCCAGACCACCAAGATTGTACGGCTTGCCAAAGATACATAAAGAAGATACACCTCTTCGTCCCATTGTCTCTACTATCAACTCCCCCACTTACAAACTGGCTCGTTTTTTGTCCGAAATCCTACGGCCTTTCACTGGAAAAACCACCTCTGCAGTACTAAACTCTACTGACCTGGTATCGACAATCAAGGGGATTGCCCTGTCCCCAGACGACCTGCTTGTGAGTTTTGATGTGGTTTCCTTGTTCACCAAGGTACCTGTGCCTGACACCATCGCAATCATTGAAGACTTGGTTCATCAAGGACTGAATGCTGGGGTACCCCCCCTGGTGAGACACTGCTTAACCAATACATACTTCACCTGGAATGGAACCTTCTACAAGCAAATTGAGGGCACCCCAATGGGCTCCCCCTATCTCCGGTTGTAGCCAACATCTTCATGGAGAAATTTGAGACGGACGCCATCCAGACTGCCACTCTACGCCCGACCTTATGGAAGAGGTACGTAGACGACACTTTTGTCATCTGGCCACATGGCCGGCCTGCTCTAGACCAATTTCTCGACCACATCAATTCCATACACCCAGCCATCAGATTCACCATGGAAGTCGAAAATGATGGCAAGCTACCCTTTTTGGATGTCCTAATCAAAAGGAGACCTGATGGTTTAATGAGCCACTCTGTCTACAGGAAAGCCACCCACACGGATGCTTATCTAAAACCGGATTCCCACCACCATCCATCTCAGAAGAATTCCCTCATCAAGACTCTATATCATAGAGCCCAATGCATCTCCGACCATGAACACATTTCCAGTGAACTCAAACACGTACGCCAAGCTCTTAAGGCAAATGGTTACTCCGACTATACAATCCGCAAAGCCATCACTCCAACCATCAAGAAGGATCCTGTTGAGGAGCCTTTCAAGACCATCACCTTACCCTACATTGCTGGGGTCACAAAAAAGATCTCCAAAATCCTGATTAAACACAAGATCCAGGTCCGATTCAACACAGTACATAAAATCCGTGATCTGGTACCGTCTGTAAAAGATGTGGTTCCAGACATACAGTACCCTGGCGTCTACAAACTAAGTTTCCTCTGTGGTAGCAGTTACATTGGGGAAACCAAACGACATGTCTCGGACCGCATCCGTGAACATAAAGCTGACCTGAAACACGGTAGGACTAACACCTCAGCCGTGGCAGATCACTGTTACAACTCAGTGGGCTCACATGATATTGACTTCTCCAAGACAGAGGTTCTCTGCAAGCCATCTGGCTATCATGAGAGATTCGTTCATGAGGCGATCCACATATACAAACACAGAGACAACTTTAACCGAGAAGATGGATTCTGGCTCAGCAATCATTGGAAGGACGTAATAAACCATTTCGATACACATTAGGGTGTGTAGAATAATACATAGTGTGATATTAAATGTATAAGATATAGGTTGGTTTACAGCAATACAGTATATAATTTAATGTTGGGTTTATCTATGGCAGTATATAGTACGGTATATGCTCGTGTGATGTAAGAGAATAAGGTTTAGATGGAAGCATATTATAGAATTTTTACGAGGTAAAATTGTAATGTATTACTTGCTGTTAGTAACTCAGCTTATTATAGAGTATAGTAAGTATACTGATGGTGCGATGCAGTTTATACTTTAGTTTTTTATGTAGTTTATACTTTAGTTTTCTACGTGTTGTTGAGTAACTGCAGCTACATATCATTAACATTCCTTTCCTTTGTTACTGCTAATCCCTGCACCCCCCTTGGTTGCTGCTGATCCTGCATAATGCATGGGCATAATATGACTTTGACACCCCCCCCGCCCAACGCCTACGCATTTTCCATGAATATGCTAAATCCCTCTTCACATGCACATTCTTTTTGTTAAGGCGCTCTTCAACCCCCAATGCAGCTTATATATAAGCTCCTAGTTTGGTAGTGTCTCATTCTTCACCTGAAGACGGCTGCTTGCGTTGTAGCCGAAACGTCGTGAGAATTGTTTTATTATGTTTTATTTTTATTATTTTATTACTTCCCTTCTACGTGACTTTACCGAAAGAAACAAGAAGATTTGGGGTACACGTTGAGTAATCGGTTTTTT